TGTTTATTTAATATTTTTAAATAAATATATATTAATATGTCGCAAAATTTTTTAAGGGGACGATAAATACATTTCACTGTCATATTATGACAGTGTATTTGTCGCCACCTAAAGAATTTTACGAATGTAGAATCCAACATATTAGAACGTGGGTATCTGACATATTTGGAAATATTCTCAAAAGCTTCCTAGAAGCTCCATAAGAAACCTTCTAAGAACATTCCAAAAACGTATTCTTAAAATGTTCTTCGAATGCTTTTTAGGAAGGTTTTAAGAAACTTCTAAGAATCTAATTGCATCATTAAAAGGGTATCTATTGAATGTTTTAAAAGTCCCTAAGAACATTCTTAGCAATAAGGGAAGGTTCTAAGAATATTCCATTATTCCGGGTCATATCTTCTTAGAAGATTCTGCTATCAGGGTATTTGTCGTAGAAAAAGTATAGTATGCAATTCGTTTATAAACTTTTCTAGACAATTAAATTCGTGACTAAAATGGCGTTTGTCAAACTTGATACATAATATACTATTATAAAATTAAGTAGTTTAAGGAAGAGTTTTGGCACAGGTTTTATTTAATTTTAGGAAAATTTTAATATATTTTTTTCTTAAGAGTTGTTTTACATTTTTTATATAATATGGCAGATGCGCCGTGATTAAAATTAACGATGAACACATAGGAATCAAAATGAAAAAACAAAGCAGCCTTTGGGGACTAATACTGTTTTTGTTAATGTTTTATAAGCTCTGCGAATTCGTTTTGCAATTTCATAATAAACACAGTACATAGCCTGGGGCTAATTACTAAAACTAAACAATTCCCTGGTTGTTGAGCAGTAATTTCTATTAAAGCCAGCCAACTCTGTTATTGCTACAGAATGTAAATATTACAATATTATTATTGAAATTTGTTGAAATAAACAGTTTACCTAATTTAACATCTTTAAAACTCTCGGTCCAAACCGTCTTATATTTGTCCTAAAACTAGGTATAACCTGAAAATCAATTTTTGATAGACTGCCAAAACTCGTAAGAAAGTTGTTATGTGGAGTTAGTTGATAAGTTATTTTATAAAGTCTATAAGTGTACGTGCCTATAAGTTTAGACAAAAGGAAATTGTTATGAAATTACATGAATATCCACTCTGACAAAGTTGCATGTGGTCCTAAGGCAATTATAATTAGTGTGATCTATGCTAGCTACGTCAAAGAAACTTTAGCCAAGTCATTTACATATGCATTTATATTAGATACTTAAATACTTAGACAAAAAGTTCTATTTAGAAATTTATAACAAAAATCGTCTAACCAGACGGCAATAACTCGGTGTATTCTGTGTTGCCGCCTTACAGGCGATGGTATTTTAAGATTTAGGTTTATTGTTGCAAAACTGTGTTGTAAGGGTACAAATTACAACAAATAAATAAAATAAATATTTACAGTAACAGCTCATTAAATTTAGTAACCCAACGCGCTTTGGAGGTGTTGTATTCATAAAGAAAGTTAAATAAAATTAAGTACAACCCTGACATTTAGTAACTTTTTGATTTATAATATATAATATAAATATTTTCATCCTGCACTTTTAAAATTAAAATTTCCTGGGTCCGTGCTGAAATCCTGTAAATTTTAGCATAACATATTTCTCTTAATATAGCAAAGTTTTTAATTCAGGAAAACCCCTCTGTATAAAAAGTCGCACCGGATTCTGGAGTTTAAATTGCGAAATTATCTCGTGCTTGTCCCGGAGACCGTCCAACAAAACCTTTGGGAGCAAAAGTTAACACACGATTAATTGCAGTAAAACTGGAATAACATAAGATTATAAGTTAAATGTGTTACATTTAACGACTTCATAAAGCATAAGCAGATAAACCGAACACGACAAAAACTTTTTGATGCGGCAAATTTTGTATGTTTTAATGCTTTTAACCTATGCTACATTTTAACAGGTAGTTCATTTTGTTTAGGAATAAAACGCTTAAATATGTAAAAAAACGATCTTACAAGTTTTAAGTAGTTGAGATATGTACTTTTTTAAAGACCGGAAGAGGGCATTTAATTTTCAAAAATAGAAAAAATCTGACATCTGTCAGACTGTTCTAACCTCACTTTCTTGACGATTGTATGAGACTTGACAGCTGTAACTAACTTCAGCCCGTGACTAAAACACCATAATTTTCCTAAAATATTATTAAAGTAAAAGTATTTTTTGATGTGAAAGAAGAATATGCTATGTAAAAAAATAAGGGAAAATGAAACCTCAGACGGTAATTAATTTAGATACTTATTTCTCGTTTGAGTGAACATGTGGGCGGAATATAAATTTCAAAGGACGGAACGGTTTATACAATAGAGCCAGTCAAACGCACTCGTGTAAATCTTTTAAATGGCCCGATATTTAAATTCTTAAATATTTGCTAAAAGTACCCACTCGAAAAATGTTATCTCCAAAGTCAATTTTTCTGCCTTCATTTAATTGCTTTCGAAATGGATTGAAAGCAGGCGAGTGAACTGTTTGCAATTCCGTTAAATTTGAGTTAAACAAACCCCTATCTGGTTCAAACTTCGACACGCAGAGTGGGTGGATGCCGTTGTTTTGTTACCAAATAAAACCCCGAGTGAGCTTCAAGGATTATTGGTTCGATGTTAGAAACCCACCAGACTTACCAACCAAATTAAACTAAACATGCTATATTCTCCCCAGATTAAGTTTCAAAAAACAACATACTACAGTAGTAAAACCTAAGGAATCCATAGAATGCACACAAGAAAGATAAATCGAATTTAAAAAAAGTTTTTTGAGATTTTGCAATATTTTGAAAAACCCTTGTTCCAATTTTGTGTTCAATAATAGAAATATTGATATATTTATATTTAATATATTTATATAATCGTTTACGAGAAAACAAATTCTTCACATGGGGGGCAATGCATGGCTGATAACGTTGCGGTATCAATCTTTCAGTGTTCGAAGTCTATCTCGGAAACAAAGAAACAAAGAGTTTCCAAAAACTAGTAAAGGGAAAGTTTTTTTCCTTTTATGCAAAAAATTTTATCCTATTTTTTGCAATATTATTGATATACAGGGTGTTTCACATTTGAGATCATTTAGAAGTTTCTGGGAAACAGAAGATATCGCTTTGACATTATAAAAGCGTTTATTCCATTTAAGTCTATTTTTCTAAAATATTTTGGACAAAATGCCACTTCCGGTTTAACCGAGTGACATCAACTTTGTTATTTTGACATTTTTAAATTCTGTATACATTACTATTACCAGTGTTGTAACAGTTACAATATTTTCAGTATCTAGCTACAGTTACAGTTTCTTACCAAAATTTGTAGCTAGATACAGATACAGATACATATTTTATTGCAGTAACTAGTTACAGATACAGTTACCTTCAAAAAGTATCTAGATACTTTAAGATACATACAAATTATTTTTTGCTTTAAAAATTTAAAATAGAAATTAAAGGGAATTTTTAGTACTTATTTTTATATATATCATTTTTGTAACAAGATTCTTTAAATTTAAATTTTAAACAAACCTTAACTGTCAAACGTGCAGATTACAGAAAACTGTATCTACCACGGTTTAGTATATTTCTTTACTCAACGGAAGTAAATTCGTTAAATAATAATAATAATAATAATATCAGTATGACCATATATTATATGGACATACTTTTGGATGCGTTCAGAAATTAAAAATTGTGTCAGAAGTGGAAGTTGACGTGTTTTCCTTGTCTCAATAAATAATAGTCGCAGTTTAATTAAAAATGTATCTTTGTATCTTAACACACCTAGTTACTTAGAATTTGTAACTAGTTACAGTTATAGTTACTAGATTGGGATAGGTAACTAGTTACACAAACAGATACATAAAAAGTATCTAGATACTGTATCTAGTTACTTGTAACCGCCCTCGGTGGTGTAGTAGTTAGCACTGCGGACTACAAGCCGAGAGGTCGTGGGTTCGAATCCCACCAGGGGTATGGTTGTTTATTTGTGTTTGTCATTGTGTATTTCTGTAATTGGGCCTGGTGCCTGTTGAAAGCACATTAAAAATAATAAAATAAATAAATAAAATAAAATAAATTACAACACTGTCTATTACTATACCATGTCCTATACCTAAAGTGAATAGTTTTCGAGTCAATCATAAATAGCTTATAACTTTTTTGTTATCCATCAATTTTTAAAAAAAAATTCAACAAATCTGTAGAATGTCAACTAAATACTAAAGACAATAAAATATAAAATCTACTTAATAAAATATTTTATTAATATTTAAAATTTTAGAAAATGTTGAATATCTCTTAAATTGTTAACTTTATTTATTAGAAATGGTTATATCAATCGAAAGGTTTTTTAATTTACAATTTCATCATGTAAACGTTTAAAATAAAAAATTTATAAACTTTTCAAGTTAGCCTAATTTGCCCTGAGTTTTTTCGGGTAATTTTTTTAAAAATGTTAAAGAATAAACAAGGTCTTAAGATTTAAAAAAATTCACCCCCATATTCGCAAACCTAATAACAAAAAAGTTATAGGCTATTTTTGATTTACGCGCATTTCTCAAATTTTAACAAAAAAAATTAATTCAACACGAAATATATTCACTTTAGGTATAGGACATAATATAGTAACTTTACTTACTATTTATACTTTTGCAAGACATTATTTTCACAAAAAAACTGTTTTTAATAAAGCCTGATTTATAGATTGCCTTCCTTCCTTCCTTCCTCCTGTAGAAGGTGAACAATACAAAAACCTGTTGTCCCGTACGGGAATCAATAAATGGCACCACGATTTTCATATTGTTCATCTTCTTCGGGATGAAGGAAGGAAGGAAGGCAATCTATAAATCAGGCTTAACGCTTCCCTGCCCTGAATATCACTAAATATTACAAGAACAGTTTTTAAGTGAATATTACAAGAAAATACTTACTAATAATATTTATTGAGCCCTCACTAAACTTTTCTCAACTTCCAGACACAAAACCGAAACTGAAAAACCACTATAGAGCGCACCGGCTGTCTTTCTGGCTCAACTTGGTGCCGGATCTTCACAAACCGGGCGGGGACGACGTCCCGATGTCCCACCACGAGCTCCCCGACGACGAACCGCCCCCCCAAAATGCCGCAGCTCAACCCCCGAAAACCCACCACCACCGAAAACCCGCTCGGCAACGAAATAAGCAAATTGAATAACGGGACGAACCATTCCGCACTCGCTACGGTAGCGCCTCAGGACTCCACGGAGAGGGTGGAAGAATTAGGTACTAATGATATTAGTGACTATACGCTAAAGAAGTATCGCTAGTAGCGCCACCACTCGGCTGTTATCATCGTAACAAGTGGAACTTTTAATAATCAGCTGTCAAACGCTTAGGTTACAAACGAGTGTTTTTGAGAATAAAGCCGGAAAATGTTAAAAAGTATCGAAAAAAAACCGTTGCTCGATTTGTTGTGTTAACACAACAAATCGAGCAACGGTTTTTTTCGATACTTTTTAACATTTTTTGGGTGTATTTCGAGAGGAAATCCTGGGTTGAGCTTTTACCGGTTTTCCAATAAACAGTGTTAATCTTAATGAAGAAATAAATTGCATACACTCACTGTAAATATAAATTGTACTATGCTCCACACCTCAAAGTCTCACCACGTGACCACGTACGGAACGCAGTCTTTTGAAAATTTGGCATTTAAGGCTTTTCAGGTTATGTATCTGTCAAAGTATAGTCAATGAAAGAAATAATATTTATAGTGTTACCGCTTATGTTTAAGCGTTAAAAGTTAATAAATATTTATAGTATCACAATAACAATGGTTGGTTTAAGAATTTACTAATATAAATACTGCATTTAATAAAATTCCAAAGTGTAAGGTGCAATATAAGTGATATTTTTGTGCATTGGGTCTACATTTCTCCATAAAATAGTTTTAATTAAACAGCATTTATTAAAAAAAATCTAACTTCTCTATTATGAAATAAGAATATCTGTATCAAAGGAAGGTTAATGTATAAGAACAATAATTATCATCTAATTTTGTATTTTAAGGTTAGAAAAATCTATTTTGACCGAAATAAATAAGTGGATTATTTGAAAGAGTGTGTTAATATGGCCATAAATAAATATAGGTATACTAAATAATTGTTGAATATAGTTCAAATTAAATTGAAGCTTTTATACTTCTAACGACAAAACTTGTGCATACCTCTCGGCATACTTACTTCAAGTTAGATTATAAGAAAACAAACAATTTTTAGAGAAACTTGCAATGTGAGAATATTTAATACTCGCATGACATGTGATTTATTAAAATTTTCAAAGTTATAATTATTTTTGATGTAGATCAAATTCAGTCGAAGCTTTTTAACTATTTGTATTTACAAAACTTTATGTAGGTACACTTTAAGCTGGATAAGAAAAACTACCACATTTTTAAATACCATATTATACAGTATTTTAAATAATCCAAAATACTTATTTATTTTGGTAAAATTACAAAATTAGATGATATTTTTTACCTTTAATACAGATATTCTTATTCCATAATAGAGAAGCTAGATTTTTTTAAATAAATGCTCTTTAGTTAAAATTATTTTATGGAGAAAACCAGATATTTGGACCAAATGCACAAAAATATTACTTATGTGGCACCATACATTTTAGAATTTCATTAAATGCAGTATTTATATTCTTAAATTCTTAAACCATCCATTGTTATTCTAATGTTATAAAGATTTATACATTTTTAACGCCTAAACATATTATTTCTTTCGTTGACTATACTTTGACAGATACATAACCTGAAAAGCCTTAAATGCCAAATTTTCAAAAGACTGCGTTCCGTACGTGGTCACGTGGTGGGACTTTGAGGTGTGGAGCATAGTACCTATTAGATACAATAAATACACATTTTAATAGTTATTGACTTGAAAAGTGTAAACATTTCAATTTAGTAAAAATCGTCAAACAAATACGTCGTCTAAACAGCATTGAGCATTATTAAAAGCGTTGATTAAGAAAGTCTTCACTCAACGGTAAAATACCAATGGTAAATTCGTAGGTATATTTTGTTGTTTAAAATGCAGTTGTCGGCGTTTTTAAGACAACTCAAATATAAAAATGGTTGATTTTATGTTTGTGCAAAAATTATTTTTTACTATAGTAAAAAATAATTTTATTATTAAGAAATTATAATTTCTTAATAATGGCCAAACTTAAATATAAATTATATTAGGTAAAGTTATCATTAGTTAATTCTGCACCAACAAATGTACTTACCGAATTGTATCCTTTGGCAAAACATAAAAATACAACGATTTAGTTCTTGAATTTTATTTACAATTAAAAACAAAATAACACCATGATCCCTTTGATAAAATACACACACTAACGTAACTATATAAGCATTTAAGCGTTTAGTTTCTTAATCAATGATATAAGGAATAATCAATCAAAATCAAGTACTAAAAAAGTTTTTTAATTTTTTCCTTGCAACATAAAACGCAAATAACGTGCGCGATTTAAATGTGCAATTGAACAAAATTTGTCGAGTAAGACTTCTGCCTTCCTCTCTTTTGTAAAAAAAACTACCTATTTATTTAAAAATGATGTATAATCGGTGCTTTAACTTGATTGTTGATAATTCTTAAATTCACGCATTGCATTCGAAGTCCACCAGATGGCGCGCGCGTTGCGAAAACCCGATACTTCTTTAGCGTACTGGCGGGTAGGTACTAACATTTTTATTTTTTCCTTAGGTGGGATAAGTACTACGAGTCACTCTATCGAGGATGGTTTTGCAGCATATTCAACTGCCTTAAGTGTTACAATAGCAATAGGGTGTTCACTTTTGATATTAAATGTGCTAATATTCGCTGGGGTTTACTATCAAAGGGATAAAACCAGGATGAACGAGCATGGAGACCCAACAAAAAAACGTAATGAAAATGGACAAATGCCCAATAATATATGTGGTGATTTGGAGAGTTCTATACTGGGAGTTAAAGGTGATCCAGCTACAATCTTGGGCCACCATCATTCGCATCACCAACTACCACCTCCAGAGTTCGCGGATTTGCCACAAAACAACGCGACACTACCACGACCTCCCCCTCCCCCAAAAATATCCAAAGTTAACACCCTGACAAACAAAGTTCCAGAAAATCAACCACTACTGTCATCGCATAGTATACAACTTATCAACACGGGGACTTTAACGAAAAAAAACACTCACATGAACTCTAAGCAAAACACAAAAATGGAGGAGTTAAGGGTGTGACGTCGTAACTTAGTGATCAATTGCTCAAACTTTATCGTTTAGTGCGACACTAGGACTTTATCTTTCAAAAAGAAAGTTCTTCTTGACAGATGAAACAGTGACTGGAGAACCTAGATCAACGTAGAACTCTGTCTGCAGTGTGCGCGAAAAAAGGCAAAGACTATCTGATCGTTTTCAATTCGAAAATCGTAAACACTTGAATGTTTATTAAACTATTAAAGAGAGAAAAACTGTGAATATTAGATAAGCACTACAGCGTTGTGATTTTTTCTTCTGTCCATTGTATCGATGATTATGATGAAAAAGACCAAAGATTTTTCGTTTAAGTTCGTTTTTTATATTATATATTTATTATAGCGAATTACAACGGCTGTAGCTAAATGAATTATAAAGTTTTTTGTGACGAGGCTGCATTTAAAAAAAGATCGCTAATTTGAGTGTTTATGTTTCTGTTTTTGACGTTTTGGTTAATGATGATTTTTTTCCTTTGACTTATTATGCAAATACGTTCCTTTTTAGTTTCAAGAAATTTTAATCAATACTTTCCAGGCATTATACTTCAGTTAGTATTAAGCCTTCTTTTAAAGACATCAATAATAAAGTTATTATTTTATTCTGTCAATAATTTACAATTTTCATCATTTTATCCTGTTTTTATTTTATCATGTCATCATTTTATTTTGCCAACATTTTACCTTGTAAACACTTTATTTTGTCATTATTTTATTGTGTCATTATTTACTTTGTCATAATTTTTCTTCTTCTCATGTTTTTTAAACAAAAACAACTTATTTTTATAAATAAGATTTTAACCCGTAAGCAATTTAGCTTGTTATTATTTAATTCTGTCATTATTGTACATTGTCTTCTTTTTATTTAATCATGTCATCCTTTTATTCTGTCATTATTTTATCTTATTCTTATCTTTTAACTTTTTTTTATAAATGAGATTTAATTTAGTCTGTTTTCATTTTACCTTGTCATTATTTTATCGTGGTTTATTGAATCTTGTCATTATTTTATTTTGTTGAAACTTTACTTTGTCATTATTTTACCTTGCCATCATTTTTTTCTGGTGTTATTTTATCTTGTCATCATTTTATCTTCTCATCTTTAAAAAAAATAACTTATTTTTATAAATGAGATTTTAACCTGTCAGCAATTTAGCTTTTTATAATTTAATTCTGCCATTATTTTATCATGTCCTTTTTTTATTTAATCATGTCATCATTTTATTCTATTCTTATCATTATTTTATTTTATTCTTATCTTTTTTAAACAAAAATAACTTTTTTTATAAATGAGATTTAAACCTATCATCAATTTAGTCTGTTATCATTTTACCTTGTCATTATTTTATTTTGTCATTATTTTACCTTGTCATCATTTTATCTTCTCATCTTTTTTAAACAAAAATAACTTATTTTTATAAATGAGACTTTAACCTGTCAGCAATTTAGCTTTTTATCATTTAATTAGTCATTATTTTATCATGTCCTGTTTTTATTTATTCATGTCATCATTTTATCCTGTCATTATTTTATCTTATTGTATTTTTTAAACAAACTTGGGTTCAAATATCTTTTATAAAAAGAAGTGCATCATAAATTTAGCCTGTTTTCATTTTACCTTGTCATTATTTTAACATTAATTTAAGCTTGTCATTATTTTATTTAAAACTTTGCCTTGTCATCATTTTATTACTTAATTATTTTTATTATTATTTATTTTTTTTAAATGCAATTTTGGAAGATGAAAGACTCACTCAATTAAAAATATTGTACGCATGCTCGAAATGGAAAATCTCAAGATACAAACAAAAAAATGTATACATTATTTCTTCAAGTATGAGTTTGTAATTATATTATATATTTATTATAGCGAATTACAACGGCTGTAGCTAAATGAATTATAAAGTTTTTTGTGACGAGGCTGCATTTAAAAAAAGATCGCAAATTTGAGTGTTTATGTTTCTGTTTTTGACGTTTTGGTTAATGATGATTTTTTTCCTTTGACTTATTATGCAAATACGTTCCTTTTTAGTTTCAAGAAATTTTAATCAATACTTTCCAGGCATTATACTTCAGTTAGTATTAAGCCTTCTTTTAAAGACATCAAAAATAAAGTTATTATTTTATTCTGTCAATAATTTACAATTTTCATCATTTTATCCTGTTTTTATTTTATCATGTCATCATTTTATTTTGCCAACATTTTACCTTGTAAACACTTTATTTTGTCATTATTTTATTGTGTCATTATTTACTTTGTCATAATTTTTCTTCTTCTCATGTTTTTTAAACAAAAACAACTTATTTTTATAAATAAGATTTTAACCCGTAAGCAATTTAGCTTGTTATTATTTAATTCTGTCATTATTGTACATTGTCTTCTTTTTATTTAATCATGTCATCCTTTTATTCTGTCATTATTTTATCTTATTCTTATCTTTTAACTTTTTTTTATAAATGAGATTTAATTTAGTCTGTTTTCATTTTACCTTGTCATTATTTTATCGTGGTTTATTGAATCTTGTCATTATTTTATTTTGTTGAAACTTTACTTTGTCATTATTTTACCTTGCCATCATTTTTTTCTGGTGTTATTTTATCTTGTCATCATTTTATCTTCTCATCTTTAAAAAAAATAACTTATTTTTATAAATGAGATTTTAACCTGTCAGCAATTTAGCTTTTTATAATTTAATTCTGCCATTATTTTATCATGTCCTTTTTTTATTTAATCATGTCATCATTTTATTCTATTCTTATCATTATTTTATTTTATTCTTATCTTTTTTAAACAAAAATAACTTTTTTTATAAATGAGATTTAAACCTATCATCAATTTAGTCTGTTATCATTTTACCTTGTCATTATTTTATTTTGTCATTATTTTACCTTGTCATCATTTTATCTTCTCATCTTTTTTAAACAAAAATAACTTATTTTTATAAATGAGACTTTAACCTGTCAGCAATTTAGCTTTTTATCATTTAATTAGTCATTATTTTATCATGTCCTGTTTTTATTTATTCATGTCATCATTTTATCCTGTCATTATTTTATCTTATTGTATTTTTTAAACAAACTTGGGTTCAAATATCTTTTATAAAAAGAAGTGCATCATAAATTTAGCCTGTTTTCATTTTACCTTGTCATTATTTTAAAATTAATTTAAGCTTGTCATTATTTTATTTAAAACTTTGCCTTGTCATCATTTTATTACTTAATTATTTTTATTATTATTTATTTTTTTTAAATGCAATTTTGGAAGATGAAAGACTCACTCAATTAAAAATATTGTACGCATGCTCGAAATGGAAAATCTCAAGATACAAACAAAAAAATGTATACATTATTTCTTCAAGTATGAGTTTGTAATTAAAGGATTTGAGTTTCTAGCAATCAAATTAGAGAAGACGACATTACAGTTTGCTCGGATCGATACATTTTGTTTGGAAAATGACCTAGAAAACCATTCAAAATATTTATGTTTTCATCCCTTTCTGTTTTAGCACAAATCTTACTTTTCGGAAACTTCGTAATTGTATGTTTTGTACAATTTGGAAAACTTTCTAAATGTAAAGAATTTTTGTATACTAAAAAGTTTATATAAAAATTTAATCCAATCACCTAGAAAAATAGAATCAATAGAAAATGAAAATCAAATAACAAAATTACAAATCTTTGATACTGAAGCAACAAAAAGTAACAAATATATACGAGTATACGGCACAATTGTCAGTGTTTGTGTTTACCCAGCAAATAAAAGCTAAGGAGGTTATAAAACTTTTTTTATATACTTAAACGAAAATATACGAGAAAAATTTGTACCACAAGTTTCATTAAAATTTTAAAATAGGTTTTCATTAAATTTATATTGATCAAAGATTTTTAATTTTATTAATACTTAGTTTTTAATTTTAAATTTTAATAAAGTTATAATTCGAGCAGATTTTATTTAATGAAGAAACTTTTTATCTTGAGATTATTTGTTATATTTGGATTGTATGAATGTTGTGTAAATACACTAGATTAAAAAATGTTAAATAAATTATTTAAAATCTGTTTTATTTAACAAACGCCCAACTCCCTTTTAATCCCTTTTTATAGTACAAAATTACTCTTAGGTTTATGAGAAATCCTGAAATATTGAAAATATTTCGTCCCGGCGCATTCGCCATTTTTGTAAAAATAAATTTAAAATAAATAAAAAACAGTATTCAATATTATTACTTTTATTCAGTTAAATCGGTAAACACATAAATTCTTTTTTACGCTAATCCTCAGAAAATAATGAATAACGTAAAAACAAATCAAATTAATATTTTTTCATAAATTGTTTTTGTTAAAATATAGTCAATCACGGTTATCAGACTTTAAGACAGGAAACTTTATATTACAGAAGGAATATTTATGTTAATATTTACACTACTGATATTAAAAATATTATATACAATTTTTGCTTTCTCAAGATTTTAATAATAAGGTTTTGCTACATAGATACAGTATTTGGCACAATGTCAAAAATTAAAAAAGTATTGCACAATTTTATTTTTTATCACTTTCTAGGGTACAGAAATTAATTAGTGCATAATTTAAGAATGTTGAATCGATGTTGGTGATAAAAAAAATAATAATTTTTGTAGCAACATTAAATTTTGAGCAAAATTTAAGAGAGTAAAAATTACATTACACTTGAACATGAAAAAAGTTTTTTGAGTTAGAATGTCAAAAAATACTTTGTTCATGTATAAATATTGCGAAATTTATTTAAACGTAACAAAAAAGAATAAATATAATACAGTCACTATTGATATCACTGCATAGTTTTGCTAAAGTTTTTGAGCAAAAAGATTTGGCACAAATTAACACAACAACACATACAAATAACAAAAATTTGGCATCACTTTTCCATATACATAAGTACTTCTTATTTAAGTGGACAGAAACATACGAGTTTTGTTTATAAGTACTTGAAAAATTTCATAAGAGTTCTTTCTTGTTTGCTATACACAAAGTTCAGGAAGATTTTAATAATTTGTAGGTTTTAGGTAAGAGTTTTCAGTTTTATTTGAGAAAATATTTGTGTATTAATCATACAACTTGTATCATAGTTTGGTTTGAAACTTAGTTTTGAGCAATTTGTAGTTTTTATGTAATTTTTAAAAAATAAATAGTTTTTGGTATAATTTTAAAATAATTTGTATGTATAGTCAAAATTAACGCATAATAAGTAAAAAAATTCTAACTCTAAAACGCCTTTACTAATCTTTATAAAATTTTGTATAAAAATACTTCAACTTATATCTCAGTTTAGGTATTCGAGGGTTTTTCAAAAAAATATTTTTAAAGGCTTCGTTACTGTTCGTTTGATTTGTACAAAATTTTCAGGGTATACTAACAAAAATACGGTCTTTTTTATTTACTTAAATTAAAGCCCTTTTATTTAATAATAAAAAAAGTTTGAAAAATAAATTTTAGGTAAATTTTTTTTAAGTAAATAAAAAAGACCGTATTTTTGTTAGTATACCCTGAAAATTTTGTACAAATCAAACGAACAGTAACGAAGATACAGTGCTTCAAAGTCGGTAAAAATGACCCCTTATTGATTATTTTTCTAAAAAGTGGTCATTTTGACGACTTTTTTCGTTACTCTTTGTTTGATTTGTACACCATTTTCAGGGTATACTTATAAAAATACGGTATTTCACAGCATATTTTTCATTTACTTAAAAAAAATTCCCTATAAAAGTTTTTTTTCGAGCGTTTTTTTTATTATTTAATAAAATGGCTTTGAGGATATTTTCTCGAAAACCCCTTGAACACATAAACTGAGATATAAGTTTTATCCAAAATTTTATAAAGATTGGTAAAGGCGTTTTAGAGTAAGAATTCTTTTACTTGCGTTAATTTTGACGCGCAGTGTATTTTGAAAATTATGGGCAATATTTTCTACACTTACGTAATATTTTAAAAAAATTCTTTATTAATATTGAGCAATTTTTAAAGAATAAATAATTTTTGATACATTAAAATAATTTGTATTTTTTATTATTTTGACAATTTTGTGCAATATTTTCTATACTTTTTCAATATTGAGCAGTTTTTAAATCAACTTACTCTTTTATTACATTAAATTAGAAAAATATTAATGTAAATTTTTGGATTATTTTGTTTATTAAAAGTTTGATTATACTTATTTTGTGGCGACGGAAGTTAGTCACAGCTAAACACCGTTCCACGGAAAATATGAAGCGCTTTTACACGCCCGTAAGTATTAGGAGAGCAAACAAAATGTTCAAAATTTACAAGCTTAACAAAATTTCCCAGAATTTTTAAGATTTCCAAAATTTCCAAAAATTTCAAATTTTGAAATTTGACAAAAATTTTAAATTTTTAAAATTTTCAAAATTAACATTTTTCTTAATTTCCACGCTTTTCAACATTTCTAAAATTATGTTAGGTTTTTTAATCAATCGTTTTTCCTTTTTTATTTACCTAAGGTGGTTATAAATTCATAGCAATTTTAGTAAAAACGTCACATTTAAAGAAAACCATTTGTACTTTTTTGGCTTGTCATAACTCTAAGTTAGTTTACACATTTTTAGTCAAAAATAAAACTGTAAATCCCTTTTCCACATTTTGTAATAATAAAATTGGATATGTAAACTTCTTAACACTTTTGAACATTAAAAATCGTTACATTTGGCACTAGAACGTGAAAATAAAAAGTTAATTGCAAGATCGCATAACAGTGGGTCTCCTGCTATACCCCCTGCGACTTACAGCCGCCCCTTGGGCCTCGCACTCCTTCCTCACCCTGTCTATAATATCCGCCACCAATTTCTCTTCTTTCACTCTTTGTTCCTCCCAATCCGCAGCTTTGACGTTCTCCTTCTTCTTGCCGTTATTGTTGTTGAACTTCGGGCTTTCAGAGCTGGTCTCGACGATCTCCTCTTTTATGCTGATGTTTAGCTCCTCGTTTTGATCCAAATTCTCCGAGTGCCTCGACGAGACGTGCCCAATGTACCCCTTTCGACTCTTGAAGAACGCGTTGCAATGCGTGCACTTGAACAGCGGTATGGGGTTCACGTAAGTGTTGACATGCAGCTTATATTTGTGCCTGTACCAATGCGTTCTCGAGGCCAGCACCTCCCCGCAAAGCTTGCACACCACACTGCCGTCGTGCCTGGTCAAATATTCCAGCAACTCGTTTTTCTTTTTCTCGTAATTCTCCCCATTCTCGACTTTTGCCACCAAAACGCCGCTCTCGTCGTCTGTTAGAAAGTGCACACCCTGTACATCCTGTTCGTCCTGACTCTCCAAACTTTCCTGCATCAGGATGTTGTTCCTCGCTTCTTCTGTGGATATGATGACGGTTTCCTGTTTTATCGGCACTACTTCTAAGGTTATTGCGGATGGTAAGTTTGAGTGGTTTTGGTCGTTTTCTTGATGGTAGTCCATTTCTTCTGAAATAAAAGTTTTTGTTGTTAGTTTTGTTAGTGTATTAGTAAAGGGTTTATTACAGTACATTATGCAACTATGTGTTATACAAGGATATTATTTACAAGGATTAGGATTCGGATTTGCGTCTCGAGCCGTCAGGCGAATGACGTAAATCATGTGTAAATAATGCGCATTATCTTAAGTATGCTTTCTCTACAGCAATTTTTATTAATAACCAAGATTATAATAACCTCACTTTCTCCTGATATTAAAGATCATTATAGTCGCCCCTCGTATATGCAGGGTGCACCAATTGGTATCATTCTATGTGTATACTTTTATGGGTAGGTATTTTTTTATTTGAAGACCTAAAAGGTCGGTTAAATTAGAGAAAAGTTCTGTAATAACAACCCAATTAAAATAAAAAAAAGGCATTGGTTCTTAAAATATTAAACATACACATTAATCTACATTTTCATCCAATTTCTTTTCTACTATTTTTTAAATTACCATCACCATGTTTTGTTTTTACAATGGTCGCCATAACTTTTGAAGTTTGATACATCGTTGCAACGATTCCTAGATTTTTTTTTAAATCTAACTATGTAAAATTCCAATACGGCGGCCATGAGAAAAACAAAAGATGATGGTGGTAACTCAGAATCTAGTAGGCGAAAAAAATTACAAATAACAAAAAAGCATATGTAACTGTGTAGGTTTATACATTAACAAATGCGTTCAGTAACATTGTAAAAATATGATTTTTCCCAGTGGGATACTTGGTGCACCCTGTACAAAAAATCTTACATCTGTTAGTTCTAACCTCACTTTTTACCAATTAAAAACCCGATTGGTTCAAATCACAGTGAATATTGAAATCGGCCAACTGATCACTAACAACATGAATGATTCATTATTTCCGTTGCTAGGCAGGGCGGTTATAATGGTTACATTATAATAATTTAAATAATATGCAATAGGGTAAGTTTATAAAACGAATTGTTTTTGTTTCAGAATTTAATTCAATTTTATTTTACATTTTATCCCACTTCTGACAACTTTCAAGCGGTTTTAACCTTACTTCATAGCAATCTGTCAAACGGGTTTAACCTCACTTTTTTCCAATTAAACACACCAATACATACATTATAGTTATAAACTATTCACTAGTTTTTTAAATGTAGAAGTAGAAAATAGTATGTATAAGTTTGATAAACGGAATTTTAGTCACAAATTTGAATTAGGCACGAGCGAAGACACTAAGAATTTAGAGTCAATTTAATTTGTTAAATATTTGACATATCAGACGGATTTAGCCTCACTTTTTTATTTATAATAGAGCTAACTTCAGCCCGTGACTAAAACGCCTTAAACGCAGCTTTTTTATGTGGGAGTAAATTAAATGGTTAAATATTAGTTTTTGATGTGTTGAATTTGATGGTATTACAATTTGTGGCATGTTTTGACACCTTTTAAAAAATACTTCCATAATATTTTAAAATTATAAAAAAATAAAAACTGTGATAAATTATTAGAGGTAGATTTATTAATTAAGAAAAAATACAATAAACAATAATTAATTTTGCGAAAAAAAAATAGTAGGTAGTGTACATGGATATAATACATCTGCACCTTGGTGTCATTAAAAAATAAAGTTATATATAACGAAACATAAACAATATAAAAGTTATACACATTGATATTAAAGCAATAAAAAATTACCAAAACAATAAAAAATATAACATTAAATTTTGCACACTAAAAAATAAAGTGATTTTTTTTTATTTCGTATTGTATATAAAATTAATATAGGGTATATAAACTATGATAAATTTAGATATTATTAACAATTATTGGCAAATTTTTAATTTGCAAAAATATTCTTATTCTCTAATGCGTTAGTAATATAAATTTCTAAATTAATTGCACTTGATTATTTAATTCTTATACTTAAAGAAAGCAATTAAACAATTTATGAATCGATAAACAACAGACAAAAGTTTAAAGAAAAATAATGTAATTAAAAATATAAAAATAAAATTATTCTGTATAACAAGGCTTGAAAACGTAAACGACTGCATGTTGATTATTGATTCTTTATACAAAAAAATTAGTTTAATTGACAATCTTGTTGGGAAGAACTTTGATAAAAACTGGCCTAGGCCTAACAAAAGTTAAATTAATAAAAAAAACAACTATCACACAGTGATTCTATACTATTGCGGATTTTTCGTTATCATTATCTATTAGATTCTGTTAATCTAGATATTTGATATCTAGATAGTAGTAGAAAAAACTAAATGTATTTTGCACAGATTTCTAGAAATAGTAAAATATTTTCATTAACAATTTAATTTTTCCTAGATGTATTCAGTTTTATCACACGTTATTTGTAAAACTAAAAATTAAATTAATAACAAAAGCATTTAAAAATTAACGCTTTATTCAATACTTGATATTGATATTGATATTCGGGTTTTAATAATCACAGTATTTGTCATAAACCACAAAATATAATGTAATAATTATAAAATGTTAAATGTCAAATAACGTGGTTATATTAAAAATAATTGTCATAAGAATAAACCTAACAAATAGTAGAAATTAATCAACAAAAGCTTACAGCAATAAAAAATAAATAAAAAAAGATTCACGATGGCGTAAAACAGAATAATAATAATAATTATTGTCTCGTATTGTCCCAACACCTAAATTAATTATTTGAAAGTTATAAACTTATTTATTGTGCGCATGCGGCATAAATATATAAAAAATCTATTTATATATATCTTTATATGTATGTATATTTAGTTATTGTCTACTCTGTGCAGTCAATATATTTATATGTAACATTTTCTACATATCTAAATATTATATGGCCCTAAACACAATCTGGCAACGCTGTATTGTTTATAACAATACAGTGTTGTCAAAATGTGATATTTGTGCATAGGGTCATAAATTGTTTAGTAAATTTGTTATAAACAAAAAAAAATAATATAAAACAAGCTACGCTAGATATTTGCAAGACCCCTAAATCTATCCAAACCAAACACTACATAATAAACTTTAGAAACAACAAAAAACTAGTACGTTAATTATTTTATCGTTATTTTGGATTATATTCGCTGCTTAGCAGCATGGTATATTACAGGACCTTTAAAAGGCCATTTTTAACCCACTAAGGTTAATCACAATTATTTACTAACTAGTTTTAATATATATTGTACTTTATATCTGCAAACTAAAATTTTGATTGTCAATCTTATAAATGTATATAAATTGATTGAATTTAAGTCCAGTCATCTTCGGTGTTATCTGCGTTGGTAGAAAAAATATATACATATTTGTAAACGAAACTTGTAGATAATCAAATCAAATTTTACCGTTAAAGAATTGCGAGCTACTAAATATTCGCTATTTTTTTTTGTTAAAGCTTCGTTAAAGCTTGTACGCAAAAACTAATTTAGTATTTTTTGTAGAGAACTTCTTTATCTACAATTTTTAACTTCCGCCCAATAGGAAACAAACCAAAGCGCCTGGATCAAATTAAAGAAAATTAGCACCACATGTGAAATCAATTCTCCGGGACCAGCCCGTCGAAATTATCTACAACTTTAGGGCAGAGGGAAAAACCCCATGGGAGGAAAAACGTCTTTCGGCATGAAACAATCGTGAACCGTCTTCATGTGGTTCTTCATCTTGTCCGGCCTGGAAAACTCCTTCTGGCAGACGGGGCAGGGGAAAACTTTGCGCTGGTGGCCCTCGTGGTAGAGAAAGGCGTGCCTCTGAAAACTGTACTTGTTCTTGAAGGTTTTCTGCACGTCGACTTTGGCGCACTCGGTGCATTGATAGACGCCGTCGTGGATGGACGCGTAGCGGAACAGGTTCAGCCCTCTGACGGACATTTCCGTGAGCTGCTCGGCCGGGTCCTGGCTCTGCGAGGTGGCCCTGCGGCGGGCGCGGCGCTTCACCGGCTGGCGGCCAGATGGCGCGCTCATCGCCGAGTTCATGGCGTTCAGGATCGCGCTGGTGGAGGGCGTCGACGGGTTGTTGTTGTTGTTGAGATTTTCCGGCGTGCTCTCGCGCACGTCCAGGTTCGGAATCAGACCGTCGGATTCTATGATTTCCGTCTTGGGCGTCAAGAGCTTCGAGTTTATTTGGTGGTGTTCTATGGAAAGAAAATAATAGAAATAAAAATAAATAAATCATAAAAAATGTTTTACTATATTGAAATAAATAAATAAAAAGTATACAAGGTGTTTAAAACTACAGAAAGGAGATTTTAAGAACTATTTTAAGCAAGTTTTCACCATTTGCGATTTTTTAAAAGTCATTTTTTTAAACGGCTCAGACATTTTTAAACAACTGTTTTTGATTTAAAACCAAGTTCTTAATATTTTATATTTAACAGTTTTAGGGCATTTTCCACAATTTTAGAAATATTTTGTTCATTTAAGAAAGTTTTAAAAAGGCTCATACATTTTTTGAAAACTGTTTTTGGTTTGAAAGCAAGTTACAACTTTATCAGATTTAACAGTTTTAGGGCATTTTTAGACAGTTGTAGGGCATTTTAAAAAATTTTCAAACAATTTTGGTTCATTTTAAAATGTTTTAAAACGGCTCAGACATTTTTAGACATTTGTTTTTGATTTGAAACCAAGTTCTTACTATTTGATATTTAACAGTTTTATGGCATTTTACACAATTTTAAGACAATTTTGGAAAAATTTTGTTCATTTAAGAAAAGTTAAAAAAAGGCTCAGACATTTTTAGAAAACTGTTTTTGATTTGGGAGCAAGTTGTGACTTTATTAGATTTAACAGTTTAAGGTAATTTTTGGACAGTTGTAGGGCATTTTACACAATTTTTAGACAATCATGGAAAGTTTTAGTTCATTTTGAAAAGCTTTAAAACGGGTCAGACATTTTTAGACAACCGTTTTTGATTTGAAACCAAGTTTTTAATGTTTGATATTTAACAGTTTTAGGGCATTTTACACAATTTTAAGACAATTTTGGAAAAATTTTGTTCATTCAAGAAAGTTTTAAAAAGGCTCAGACATTCTTAGAAAACTGTTTTTGATTTGGGAGCAAGTTATCACTTTATCATATTTAACAGTTTAAGGTCATTTTTGGACAGTTGTAAGCCAATTTACACAATTTTAAGACAATTATGGAAAGTTTGAGTTCATTTTGAAAAGCTTTAAAACGGTCAGACATTTTTAGACAACTGTTTTTTATTTGAAACCAAGATTGATATTTAACAGTTTTAGGGCATTTTAGACAGTTGTAGGGCATTTTACACAATTTAAAGACAATTTTGGAGAGATTTAGTTCATTTAAGAAAGTTTTAAAAAAGCTGTTAGAAAACTGTTTTTAATTTGGGAGCAAGTTATCAGTTTATCAGATGTAACAGTTTTAGGGCATTTTTAGAGAGTTGTAGGGAATTTTACACAATTATAAGACAATTTGGAAAAGTTTTGGTTTATTTTAAAATGTTTTAAAACGGCTGAGGCATTTTTAGAAATGTATTTTTGATTTGAAACCAAGTTCTTACTATTTGATATTTAACAGTTTTAGGGCATTTTACACAATTTTGTAAAGATTTTGTTCATTTAAGAAAACTTTCTTAGAAAACTGTTTTTGATTTGAAAGCAAGTTATCATTTTTTCAGATGTAACAGTTTTAGGGCATTTTTAGAGAGTTGTAGGTCATTTTACACAATTATAAGACAATTTGGAAAAATTCTGTCTTTTTTTAAATGTTTTAAAACGGCTCAGACATTTTTAGACATCTATTTTTGATTTGAAACCAATTAATATTTCATATTTAACAATTTTATGACAATTTTGGAAAGATTTTGTTCATTTAAAAAAGGCTCAGACGTATTTAGAAAACTTGTTTTGATTTGGGAGCAAGTTATGACTTTATCAGATTTAACAGTTTACATTTGGACAGTTGTAGGGAAATTTACACAATTTTAAGACAATTATGGAAAGTTTTAGTTTATTTTAAAACGGGTCAGACATTTTTGGAAAACTGTTTTTGATTTGAAACAAAGTTTTTACTGTTTGATATTTAACAGTTTTAGGGCATTTTACACAAATTTAAGAAAATTTTGGAAAGATTTAGTTAATTTAAGTTTTAAAAAATCTCAGACATTTTCAAAAAACTGCTTTTGATTTGGGAGCAAGTGATCACTTTATCAGATTGAACAATTTTAGGGCATTTTTAAACAGTTGTAGGACATTTTTGAAAAGTCATTTTATAAAATTTTAAATCTAGGACACTCTAGACCGTTTTCTCAAATTTTTCTTCAAGGCTTAGATATGAATATTATTGTTGTTTTGAAATATCTTATAGATGGTGAACAAAAAAAGTAATGAAAAAAATATTAATAGTTGTAATAATAAATTCAATGAATCAAAAAAAGTGCTTAAAATTGTAATTTTTTACGAATTTTTCATTCGAATTCTTTCACCTTGTATACATAATACTAAAAACTAATAAGTAAATAAATAAATAAAAACTCAAAATAAATGATAAAGAATAAACTTTATTTAACCATCTACTCTACAATGTACCCATACAAGAGGTAACTCTAAACGCAAAAAGTGCAAAATAATTTATCTACAACTAAAAAATTTAAGTATACAATAATCAAAATAAAAAAAATTGCTACAACATAACATCAAATAATATTTTTTATATATTGCAACTTTACCTTCTTATATAAATCATTCTTCAGTACATATTCACTTAAATCCTAAAAATTTTAATAATGTAAGGCAAGATTTTGTTTTGAAAAACACATATATTTCATAATAAAAACATACTTTTATTGCCGATATATACGATAAACTTATAACTATAAACTATATTTAACATTGGTATAGAACAGTTAATATAACTCTTAATATAAAATTTTCATATTGAAAAAATGTAACAATAAAACTCAAGACATAATAGTTTTTGAAAATATAATATATATGTATGTATTGCAATTTTTTTAATATTATATTAAAATCCCAGAAATTAAGGCACTTTATTCAAGTCATCAAAATACAGTGAAACCGCTTTGTAGAAAAATTACAATTAAAACTTAAAAAATAGAAAATCAAATTTAAAAACATTAAAACTTAAAAACCCGCCAGAAATATAATTTAAAATAAAGCTTAAAAAGAAGTTTCACTGATTTTTGGTCATCATGTTTTGTAATTCTGATACTCCAATATCAAATTTGTCGCAGTCTTAGTAAAATATTTATTGTCAAAGATTTCAAAGTAGAACATCACACATTTATTAATATTATTTATCCATATAAAAATATTTGGCATGTAAAATTGCCATGTAGGAAATCTTTTTTAAGGCACTAGCTCGAATTCTGTTTGTGTATAATTTTTAAGTGCGCCAGCATGTTGTCTTTCCGGGTGAAATCTTTCCGGCAAACGGGACAAGAGAACATTTTCACGTTAACTTTGTGCGAGGTCATGTAATGGCGGCAAAAATTACTGATATGCGTGTAGACTCTATCACATACTGTGCACCTGTATAAATCTTTCTCTCTGACGCAAAAATCCCTCGCTGATTTTTCCGGGTCGATGATTTTCTTCGAACAATTTATATTCCGGAAACTTTTGCAAAGATCGGGGTCGTCTATGACAATGTCGTAGTGCGCAAAATCGTCCAGGTCCAGTATTTTACTTTTTTTTTTCTTTGGTGTGCTAGCATTCGTTATACTATCTATCAGCGAATCAGGATCGAGTTTTATGTCTATGGTTTCGTAGTTTGAGTCGATTTCTTGGATATCGTTATCGTTTTCTTCTATTTCTATGTCTGATAGGGCGGAGTCTTCGAATCTCATACTGTTGCTATCATCGGGGATACACGAGGACGACCTTATTTCTAAACATTGTACTTTATTTGGCGTTGAGGGGTCTTTTTCGTCTGCAACAGAAAGAAACGCAAAAATAATGACACAATTCAAATAGCTACATATATTATAAAGCAGAAAAAAGAACGGTGTAAATGAAATAGAAAAATCAATTGCACGTATTGCATCAACAATTGACAAATAAATTGAATATATGCTTCACCCCGTTGAAATAAGCGACTTAAAATTTGTATTAGTCTGGCTGGACCTTGTAAAAATCTATTTATAACTTATAAATCAAATAGCAAAGTCCTTGAAATGGATATGCCACGACGTATTGGGGTTCCTGTTTGGTAGATAAGTTAAATAAAATGTTGCTCAGACTTGACTTCAATTAATTGAAACTATCACATACGGGGTGATCAAAAGTTTCTATAGATCTTGCTTATTACAAAATTTAGGACTTTTAAAAAACAAGTCAGGACATTTTGGATGTTTTTGCTTTGTTATTTCTAACACATTAAACAGTTATATATAACCAAGTGATAACTTTGGTTGGTTCTTATAAGATTTGCATATCTATGCCATCAACAACTTAAAAAGTCAGTCAGTATTTAAATTAACCTCCTACACACCCCTGTTAAGCTGTAAAACCAATTTCAATGTAAAATAAGACACGTTTATCTATAAAAACCCTATTAGACTTTTTGATGATTGAATAGCAATATAGCAATTTATTTATCTATTAATTAAAATTCATACAACCACCACCACCAGTATAAAAGTTGAATTAATAAGCAGAATGATATTTAAAAATGTTATAAAGGGAAAAGCTATAGGAAATAAGCCGCATATTAATTAAACAATGGGTAGATAAGTAAAATATAAGAGATAATAATAAAAATAAAAAGCGATGAATAATGAATTGTAAGCTGGCAAACAATGGCTCATTCCTAAAAACTCTTCCCCTTATCAAGTAAAAATGTTTTGTATTTATTTGATTAAAACTCACCTCTGAATTATTTGCGTGGCACACTAATCTAATCACAGCACTATAGCTTTTCCCTTAACACTCTTAAAAAACATTAAATAAATCATAGTATTATACACATTTGTATAGGTATGTAACATTATTTCAATGTTATATTATTACCCACATAGTATATATATTTAGCCATTTTTATATCTTAGGTACAATTTAGGCCATTTAAATAAAAAATTCGAATTTTGGCTTACTAAATTTCGAATTGTGTGCTCAAAACCGTGATGTGATGTAATAAACCGAGATTTGACTTACCGCATCCTTAAAACTGATAAAAAGAATAATATAAATTATGAATATAACAATTAAATCTTGTAGTCAATAAAACTATTAATAAACGCTATTTTTGCATTTTTTTAGAATAAACAAGGCTGCTATAATAAAATCAAATAATCATAAAAAAGTGTAAATTATGTAGTTTTTCTTATAAAAATGATTTTCTTATAAGAGTGCAAGAACCCAGGTATCTTTTCACAGTGGGTAAGAAAAACACTCTTCCACAAAGTCACCTAATTAAAACAATATTTCTTTAAATTTTATAGTATAATTTTGTTTAAACCGTTATGTTAACAAAATTGTACTTGGCAGTGAGTTTAAACATTGGGGTCATTTATAGGAGCGTTTTGTAACCTCCTGCAATTAAAAGCATTATTTTTATTTAATAATTTACACTTTTTTATAAGATTTGTAAGATCATATGGTTACCATTACAACCAAAAAAAATTTCATAAAAATAACAAAAATATTTTTAAAATTTTTGCTTTATTTTAAAACTTTTTGAAAATCCATACAAAAAAGGTATTATATCTTTTTTTGTAGATTTTTTAAACCAGTTTTTTTTAGACCATTTGGTTTCCATGGCAACCAAAAGCGTTTTCATATGACATGGAGGTCACTTTTCCTGAACCAAATTTCCCCAACTTCTTGGTTTTAAGTGATTTTTTTTTAATTTTCTCCCGACTTTTTTGCTCAATTTTATTATCAGTATTATATCACTAGAGAGTGAACATAAATTAAAAATAATTCGATAGATTGCCAGAAAATAGTGTGTCTAGAAAGAGATCTAGATAATTATTTTTAAATAATTGTGTGGTATTTGTTGGAATATTTTTTGACAGCGTGTAGAAATCAGATAGACAAATAAATATTTTAAGTAACTTTTTTATCAAAACTCAAAAATAAGATTGTTATAGCCCTTCAAAGTTTAATTAAATTTTGAGCCGGTCCTGGCTATTGTTAACAAAAAAAACATAACCATAAAAATAACAAAATAAACAATGCAAAATGTCATCTATGACAACAAACATAACCATTTAAATCAAAATGACATTTAGCAATGAAAAATGTCAATATTTACTTTACTAAGTTTTTTTTGGGCCTCAATTATTGTTAAAAATGTGTCATTTTGTTGTCATAGATGACATTTTGCATTGTTTATTTTGTTATTTTTATTTTTATGGTTGTTTTTTGTTAACAATAGCCAGGACCGGTTCAAAATTTAATTAAATTTGAAGGACTATAACAATCTTATTTTTGAGTTTTTATAAAAAAGTTACTTAAAATATTTATTTGTCTATCTGATTTCCACACGCTGTTAAAAGGAAAGCGTCAACTTAAAACTCACCCTGTATATTAAAATAGGTATACGTTTTATATGAGTTGAACCATGCAAAGTTCGATATAACAAATTTTTAGTTTGAGAAGTCCCCGAGCGATGGCGCTACCTGTTTATGATTTTTGTTTGTGTATGGTTTATTGCATTAACAAATGAAATAATTATGGAACATATGGCGCTTAAAGCCGGGTCTACAATTGTCGCAGGTCGCAGATCGCAGAATATAAGCTTGCGCAAAGCACCCAGCTGACAAAAGAACCTTGCTTCATCGCCACATCGCGGGGTGCTTTGCGCAAGCTTATGTTCTGCGATCGGACCCCTGCAACAATTGTAGACACGGCTTAATACAAAATTGTCAAAAATGTTCTTCTTTTATTAGGCTATACACTAAATAAAAAAAAGGCAAGAAATATTTTATAAAAGTAGAGATAATTTTATTAATTGAAAGATGTGGATGGGACAAAAAAAATATTTATCTTGTCCCATCCAGACCTGTCAATTATTGAAATTATCTCTACTTTTATAAAATATTTCTTGCGTTTTTTTTTTAATTTAATGTGTAGCCTGATAAAAGAAGAACATTTTTGACAATTTTGATTTTAAAATATTATATAATAAATTATTTACAATTTTTTTATAAAAACATTTTTGTGATTTGAAATGGCCGTTTTTTGTATTTTTTTATATATTTTTTCTGATAAAGCAAGTTTTTGTCTTTTGTATTTTGCTTTGTTGTGTAGTCCAGGGATATGCAATTAAGAAGGGGATTTTTTTCTTGAAAACAAAATTCAAGATACAAAAAAGTTGTATTTTTAGCTTCTTAATCATACATTTTTTTGTCAAAAATATTTGGGTCCGCTCGGGACGCCACTGGACTTGATAAATTTAATAATTTAACTCCCTGTATCTTATACTATATTTTAAGTTTTGAAATGCAACTGTTTACGCAAAAAGTAGAAAGTTGGTGCCTTCCCCTTAAAAACGGAAACATCTACAATGGTTTTTATATGTGTGGTAGGTATATGATTTTTGATCTTTTTAGGCAGTAAAATCAAAAAGTTTTGCCTACTGTTTGTAAAAAATTTAAAACTAAATTTTTGTCTTAAAACATATTTTGTCCTACTAATAGGAAACGAGATAAAACACGGGAATTGGGCATTCTACCTTTTAGACTGTCAGGAATACCATATATACCAATCTGACTACTAAATTATGAAATATATTTTTATACAAAAAAAACAATAATAATTCACTTTTTAAAGACTTTTTTGACCATATGGTTACCATGGCAACCAAAATCGTTTCAAATCATTGCATGGTTGGTTGCTATGGAAACACCAGTGGCGGCTGGTGGATTTTGCACATGCCATATCTCAGTTATCAGACATGAGACCCACAGCAAATTTATATGAGTTTATAATGACACTAAATTAACAAGTTTTGCGCAAGTAGAATTTAAATAGAAGTTTGCAAAAAAGATAGTTTACCATAGTTTATTAACAAATATCAAAATTTGTTTAAGAGATTCAAGTATTACAGATTTTATTTTTAAAATAAATTTTGAAGTTTGTCAATAAACTATGGTAAATTATAAATTGCACCACTAAAATATGGATTATCTTTTTTTCGCAAACTTTTAATTAATTTATGCTTGCGAAGAACTTGTTAATTTAGTGTCTAATTATCAAAATATCCGAATACGCAAAATCCACCAGCCGCCACTGGGAAACACCATAACAATCATGTAAATGTGACTTAAGCGGCGTCACGTGACGGTAAAACGTGACGTGAGGTTTAATGAGATTTTTCGAATGAACAGCAAAAATAGCGCTTACAGTAAAAAAAATCTTAAAGCTAGGCGAGATTCGAGTGAGAAACTTACCAGTCTGCAGATCGTTTTCGGGCGTTTTCGAGTGGTTAAAAGCGATTTGTTCTTTGGAAGTGCCGGCCACGGGTTCGCTCTCGTCTTTCGCGTCGACTTTCTCGTCGTCGTTGTCGTCCTTGGCGCTTCCGTCCGAGTTGTTTCCGGCGAATCCGTCCACGCCCATCTTCATCTCCATCAGCTCGGGGCTGCCTTGCACCAGGCCGTCGCGATCGTAGTCGTCGGGTCCGTTCGACGATCCCGACAGCTTCCGAGGCCGGCCGCGCTTGCGCTTCGGCTGCAGCAGCGCGTTGCCGAGCATGTTGAAGTTCCCGCCGAAGCGCTTGTTCTGCTGCAACCGCTGCAAGTGCGGCAGGCTGTTCAGGTTCTGCTGCGTCAGCGAGGAGGTAATCGTATCGCATTTCTCCTCGTTCACCTCCGTCAAGCCCTTTATCCTAAGGCTCTCGGCCACGCGCAGAAACGCGGTGAGCCGGTCCTGATCCACGCTGACTTCCCCGCGATACATGAAATCCAGCAGGCACTTCATGTCGCTGTACGGGACGTCCTTCAATATAACTATGGGGTGCTTGTCGGGATGGTTCACGAACAACGCCTGGAAATACGGGCTGCAAGCCGACAATACCATTTTGTGGGCCCTCAACAGCTGGCCTTCGACCGCTAAGGTCACGTCCACGAAGCTTTCGTCGTGCAGAAGTTGATCGAACACCGAGAGGAGGTTCGATTGGTGGTTGTTCCAGCGAAGACAAAACCGTTGGGAAGACATCGTTTGGGGTGCCGTAGAGGCTATACCTGGTATCTGCGGCGGATATCGGTAGTTTATGCTTGACATTGGAGGTACAGGCGGAATTTTGTCTGCTTTTTGGCCACACTAAAAAAGAAATCAACTTTAGCTCACGAATGTCGCGAAGTTACGATTTTTTTATTACGATGTCATGTGGAACTAGGGTTGGTAAAATTTCACTTTTTGCTTGTACTTGAAATTTCACTTGAAATTTTCATGACATTTATGAAATTTATTAAAATTTTTTAATAAATTTCTGAAATTTCATGAAATTTATGAGTTTTATTGAAATTTATGAAGTGTAATATCACGGTGCTGTTCTGAGAGGTGATTTTTGGACTTTCTGTGAAACCTAATTTTTTTTATATTCTTGTTAATTAGGTCATAACTAAAATTTTAAGAGCAAAATAAAAAAAAAATTGACGGTTTGAATTGTTTTAATTGGCTGTTTATTAAAATATTATGCACTCTTTCAATTATCCAATTAAAACTAGCGATTTAATTTAAATATTTAATATTTGCATAACTAAAAATAAGGTTTTTACAATTTTTTTTATATATTTTACTGTTTTGTTGCAATAAACGTTCAAACTTTTAATCTAACCTTTGACGTATACATTTATGTTCCCTTAAGTAATATATCCTTAAAGGTTGCCGTGAAACTTAGATCTATTAAAAATTTATTTGATGTTTGAATTGTCATTTTCAGTATACGTATTCTATAATTTTTGTTTAGTTTTTTAAAGTGTTTTTTATAAACAAAAATGAAAAATTGTAGTAAAAGTTACGAAGAAATTCATGAAATTTAACTAAGGACCAGTTTATTCATCTTTAGTAAAGTTTATCGGGCCGATCATTTTTGATTTATTTGACGAATAATTTCTTTGGATACTAGATACTGCCAAGACATGAAAGTTATATAACTTTCATGTCTTGGCAATATCTAGTATCCAAAGAAATTATTCGTCAAATAAATCAAAAATGAATAAATCGGCCCTAAATAAAATGTGGCACCCTTAGAATTATTGTTTAATAAATGTATACTATACATTTAACCTTAAATTAAAACTTTAAACGTGTATTACAACAAAACATTAAAAGATATAAAAAATGTATAGACCTTTTTTTAGGAAATTAACTAATCTTTAATCTGATTTAAAAAGTTATGAAAATATTTAAATAAAATCGCAAGTTTTAATTGGAGAATTGAAAGTGTGCATACATATTTTTAATAAACATCCAATTGAAACAAAATTAACCGTGAAATTTTTTTTATTTTGCTCATAAAATTTTAGTTATGACCTAATTAACAAGAATATATAAAAAAATAGGTTTCACAGAAAGTCCAAAAATCACCTTTCAGAACAGCACCGTGAATATATTAATATTGAAATAAGGCCACTCAGGGACCATGGCAAATTGCCTCTCTTACCCCTCTGTGGGCCCCTGCACCAATAATATAAATAGTAAATACCTATGTTTACCACAAATTTCTTGAGATTTCCTTTTAAAATATTTTTAAAATTACTAAAACTAAAAGAGATATAGCACTTTTTGGTAAGCTAATGAGATTGTTTTATATTTATATATATTTATTATTTTTAAATATTTTACTGAAATTTTACGAAAATTGAAGAAACTTCAACAAAATTTTATGAGCCAAAGGTAGGTACCTATTTTTTATCCGTTTTCCGATGCAATTATAGCAAAAGTAAAAGTTTAAATTAATCATGACTTTTAAAAAAAATTTAAAGTCTGATTTAATTTACAAATTAAATTGGTAACTGAATTAAATTATTAAAATTAATTTATGCATATAAGTAACAATAATTACTTATAGTGTATTCAAATCCAAGCCGAACTAAACAAAAACGCCCAGACGCTTGATAACTCGTTCTTATTGGTCGATCTGTTGTAAATTATTATTAAAGGTCCCAGGGGAGGCCGCATGTGAAATTTATGCGAAATTTTCAGTAAATTGCGAAACTTTCAATGAAATTTCTGAAACTTTCACAGGCAATGTTGAAATTTTCGGATTGAAAATTTCATTTGAAATTTTTAAAAATTTCACTTTTCCAACTAAATGAAATATTTCAAGTTTGAAACTTTCAAACTTATGATTTTCAGACACATTCACAAATATTTGAAATTTTTTTACAGCCCAGATTCCAAGAAAAGCTACATTTGAAGGGGTAAGAAGCAAAAAGGTACAAAGTGCATTTTAGCATGAAAATTAGTTAAGTGCAGAGTTGGGTAGTTTAGAATCCAAATTTGTTTTTAAAAACTTTCATAAAGTCAACATTTTACGAGTTCTGCATGTTGATTAATGCAAACAACAATATTGAAACAAGTATCCAGATTTTTGTATATAGCAAAAACTTCAAAAGTTAGTAACTCCACTTCTCTTATTTGCCTCGATATTTGTACTTGTACCCTTTTGCTTCTTACCCTTTCATTTGTTTTCATACGCCATTTTTTTATTTTGTATCTTGCGAGCTCGCTAATGAGATTTCCATAAAATATAAACTATAATACTCAATTTAGCTATCTAAATAATTTAATGGAAACTTGAGAAACAAAATATTGTTTCTTAAGTTTGGAAACGAATTTTTGAAATGTAATCTATTAGTGCAAAATTATATCCGAACAAAAACGGCTATTATTTCCAAGGTAAATAATTCATTAAAGTATTATGTTAGTTTCAATACCGGCCATCTACATTGATCAATGTTTTAAGTACAAAAATGTACTTAAAATGCATATTCCTTTGAAGTAGGTATATGTTTTTTTAATTAAAACTTTAATCTGGTTAAAAATATTTTCAGTTACCCTATGAACAAGTTTTTCAAAATATAGGTATTTATTTTTTACTTATTACTGTGGGATAAACTAATCAGTAACTGGGACATTTTCATATATTTGTGACAAAAAATAATAAATCATATCTAAAACTTTTCTTTTCTTATAGGATAATTGGGAAAAAATCATGTATAAATATAAATATAAATTTAAAGAGGACATAATAATTTACACTTTTTTATAAACATTTTTGATCATATGGTTACCAATACAAGCGTTTTCATATCAATGACATAAAAATGCTAAATTACATTTTGTTTTTTTTTTTACTTTTTTTTAATTTTCTGTTAATAAAAATCATCTAAAAATTAACAAAAAAAATACCTATAATGTACTTTTTTGTGAGCATAAAATTATTTTTTTACAGGTACCTACAATTACAAAAATCATTTTTACACGAAAAAAGGACATTCACAAGTTTTTATAGACTTTTTGAACATTAGTTGCCATGGCAACCGAAAGCGTTTTCATATCAATGAGAAAAATGCTAAAATGTAGTTTTTAACATTTTGAATTTTTTAAATGTTATAATAAAATTAGCTTATTATCTTAAAAAATCTATAAAAAAGTGTAAATTAGGTATTTATTTTTTGTATGAAAAGGATTTTCTTGTATAAAATATTTTAATGACATAAAAAATATTATTTTAAAATACAACGCAATTATTATACTTAACGATGTCAGGGTTTTAATAATTTTTATAGTTAACATTTTTTACCAATATAAACAAACCAATTACAAAGTAGCAAAGTAAATAATAAATAGAAAATCCACAAAGTTTTTTACAATTTCTAAATTTAAAGTTGGCTAATAAGACACGTTATCATTTTAGGTTCAACAAATCAACGATAAAATAAACAAAAATTGTTTATTTTATTTAAGTAAGCCCTTACCTTTAAAAATAAATTATTAGGCAAAATATCTTATTGGAATTAATACGTTAAAATCCCATAGGTATGTATATTATTTACGGAAATACTTCAATTTATTTGCGATTTTTTAATTTAAATATGCCACTTGTAGTAAAATAATCTAGGTAGGTATAGCTTATGTATTAGATATGTTTTATGAAATACTCAATTTAAATAAACAAATAAATAAACAATACAAATAGAGGCTAATTGCTTATATTGGCATATAATTAATATGCACAAAAAATCTGCGATAAGTTATGACATACGATTAAATAATGCAATTAAAATACTAAGTAGATAAATAAATAAATAAAAACAGAAGCAAAAGACATGACGAACGCCTATGCAAGGCGATATGATTCACACAGGTGTCCGCAAACAGAAGCTGTATCGTTCTTGAACTTAATATTACATCACTAAAGCCCCTCCTCTCTACCGAACAATTTTAAATATCCTTATAAAAACATAAACAACGCCAATATCGTTGAAAAACGATGTTAAGCAGATTAAGCTAAATCTGGCAACCCCTTGGACGAGAATAATGGTTGAGCCCTGCGCCATATTTAAAATCCACAGCACCCCGCCTACAACCGTTTACTAAAGTCGAGTTTACGCAACCCTTTGCACGAATCAAACGGAATTAGATGTTAATTTGTTTCACGATTGCAATTGTTTATTAAATGAGGGTATGTTGATGTTAATGCGGGCTGATATAGGGGTTATATTGATCCGGGAAATATATTGATTTAGGGTAAAAAGTCGTCGACCCTACACTACAAAAGCCAATGATTCGCACTGCGCTGCCTAATTGGCGTAACTTATAGTTTAAAATGTGCATAAATGTAAATATTGTTTACCTTAGTAAAGTGCCACCATTTAAAACAAAAGGGTTGTATCCCCGTACAGGAAAACTAAACACCACAACACTTTTAAGACGCCATGTCAGCAATGAGTCTGTCTCTGTCTCGCGAGCAGTGTTGCCAGTGCGTTTTTATTTCCCCAGAGTTTTGATGCAAAAATCCCTAGATTTAAATGGGCAAGTTATTTATAATTTTGTGGAAGAAATTAAACTTGATTTGTTTACAATTTTTTTAAATTGTAGTTTAAAACAACATGGGTTTATTTAAGCAGTTGTGTCTCTTGAAATTTCATAGTAAACAATAAGCCACGGCATTCTCCACAGCACACTTAGGTGCGATGGAGAATATTGCTTTGATTGGTGGTGTATTGCTTTCTATAGAGATGATTCTCTTTAAATATAAAAAGTAAAATCGCAAATTTCAAGAAACACCGCGTGCTTAAATAGGCCTAAAATTAATAATAATGTTAGGGTTTAGTTTTTATGCCACTTATTTATTTTTTTTATAAATTATTTAATTTGGCATTGAAAATATAAAAAACGTTGTTAAATTTGGCAATGTTTGGCAACGGTGTTTTGGCAGTCGGGACCAATCGGGGTACAAGAACCGCGAAGTCTTTGAATTGTTTAAGCGAGCAAATCGCGCAACTTTTCCCTTGATAATTTAGCGAAGCACCGTTACAATCATCTTCCTGTGTGGTTTTAATGTTATTCAGTGTATTATTTTGGGCCATGCAGTAGATGTAGAGTGCGTATAAATATAGAAGCAAAGGTGGGCTGATAATTTTGCATGTGCGAATGGTGGCTTATGTCATGCGCGGTGAGGGTTAATCGTCTAAATTGTACTTACGCAATAGACTGTCCTTGATAAATTTGTTGTACTGGTGCTTCAAAATCGCTTCTGTAGTATCACATTTGTGCACTAGTCAACGCACTACACTCAAAGAGAACAATTTTTTGGGATGTGTTGGGGTGGCGTTGTAAAGTGGTGTGCACCCTTGAAGCGACTAAAGTCTAAAAGCGAGCCCCGCGCATCAGTGGCTCAGCCTACCACCACCACCGCGTTAAAGTGACCTTGGGAGTTGTGGATGCCTTGTAGACCGGCTGAATGGTGCTCGCGGGTTGCGTTGGAACGTCGACGCGGCGGATCTGGGCGGCTGTGTTTTGAATCTTGCATCGAGGGCTCTAGCAGCGGCCCAGCTGAAGCGCACACACCCATCTCCCGATGTGCAGGTCCGAGATCGCGCTGGTCGGCTGGAGTGAAACGGGGATACACGTGCGGCTATCTTGGGGTTGGTGACCCCCCCAGAAAAAGAGGACGACTTTTTGACTCTTCGTAACACTTTTTCCGAAGAATGCCGCCCGTATAGGTTGCTCTCCTACGACTTTACAATGCATAGGGGTGGGTGGGATCTACACGAAATGCTAGTGATACGAAATCGAATGTAAGGCGTTTGGGATCGAGTTACCTTTTGTGCGACGTGCACCACTGCAACAGGTGAAAATTTAATATCCTACCAGATATTTCGCAATCCCATTGGACTATAGTCCAATGTATACCTATGCATCAAATATCAGAAAAAACTGTTTTGATTTTTTGTCCAGGGACGGTTTTGGACTAGACATTTGGAGAGGGGCGTGGTCAGTAAATCTTGGAAGGGGAAAAGGGATACAAAATATATAAATTAATATTTTTAAAAAGTTCAGAATCTGATTTTAAACTAACCGACAAAATAAAAAAAATCAGTAAACTTAAAAACTGTTTTGATAAAAACTTTAAAAAATCAAAAAAATTTGTAAAAAAGTAAAAAAAAATAGTGAAAAACAAGGGTTTGTGTTTTTAACATTATTAAATTAAAAGTGCTTGAAAATGTATCTATGAAAAATTAAAACCTATTTTTAAAATATAAAAATCACAACTTATTTATATTTTTTATAAATTTTTATAGTAGGTACTAGCCTAATTTTGACAGGACATATTTTACGATTTAATCAAGTATAGGTATTATAGGTCGTACCTACTAGGTAACTACCAAAATACCTATACTTGATTACATCGTAAAATATGTCCTGTCAAAATTTACAATACAAAAAAAACATAAAAAATTTAAATAATAAAAATATAAATACAGGGTGTTTCTATTCAAAATGGACAAAGTTATATAGGTTGTAGAGGTTGTATGATATTGAGACTAAAATTTCTTGGAATGAAATTTTCTATTTACATAAGCTTCCCAAGGAGCAAAAACTACTTTTTAGTTAAAATAACATGTTTTTCATGTCACAAACAAGTCATATGTCCGCCCTAAATAACATCACAAATAACGTGATTTGGATATTGAAATAACGTTATTTTGTGATATCCTAAAAATAACGTAACTTTCATATCAAAATAACGTTATTTTAGGATGTCATATTTGTGATGTTATTTAGGGCGGACATATGACTTGTTTGGGACGTGAAATACATGTTATTTTAACTAAAAAGTAGTTTTTGCTTCCTGGGTTTTGTTTTCAAATTATCGACCTTATTTTGTTTTTACGTAAATGTGTTAAAAATTTAACTTAAACTTAAACGAGTGTTTAATAAAAATGAGTGTCTAGAGGAGTTTATAAAACAAGTTGCATACTTTAGTTAATCTATAGATATAGTCGTATACGACGAACAGAAATAAGAATTTAAATTTTAATTTATAAATATTTGACATTTGACAAATTTAACCTCAATTTTTTGCAATTTATAATAAAGCTAACTCCAGCCCGTGACTAAAATGCCCAAAACCCACTTTTGTTAACTTCAGCCCGTGACTAAAACGCCAAAAACACAGCTCGTCAATGTACAAGAAGATAAAATACTATAAAATAATAAAAATGTATGAAAGGGTAACAAAAACACACAACTTTTGATGAGCTTAAATAGGTATAACCTAAAATACAAATACAGATACAATACCAAAAAAGAAAAAAATCCTTTTATCTAGAAATAATGCAAACAACAAAACAGGTTCTTATGCGATTTTTTAAAAAACAATATTAATTTATTATTAATGTTTATTTAGTATAAAATCCTATAAATAAAATAAGCATAAACTTTTAGTCGGAATTTTATTGTTAGTACGCCCCTGCTGGACAAACTTCACCACTGGAAAACTGATAAGATTAAATTATATTTTGTAAGCAAGTTTACAAAATATATTATAAACATACATACATAAATGCTTGAAACAAAATTTCGAAAATATTATAAGCGTTATTAAAATGGAAAACATTTACCTACCTAATTTGTTTCATAATTATTGTTTTGCGGAAGTGACTAAATGTCGCTTAAATGTATCATTAGTAGTCGCTTTTCGGGGGGTTAATTAGGAAGTAATGGGGCGATTAAATAAATAACTAATAATACAGGTAAAATATATCGGAGTCTAGACCAGACCCACTCCCAAAATAATAAAAAGTAATTAAGTAAAACTATGTGTATGAATTTGAATAAATACATATGTACATGCTACCAGGGATTTCAATTTGTATAGGGTATGTAAAGGTAAAATATTAAAAATAATCTGGTATTTTCAAAAATCCTAAAAATGAAAATAAATAAATCAAAAAATGTATCCTATAAAACGTTCAACTCATTCGATAATATTATTTTTTCTGTATTAATATTAATACAGTACTAGTCGGTCTAGACAAATCTGGGGGTTATCTATTCATAGATAATAATTATAGGGGCGGATATTTAACGTTCTGGCTAGGGGGTGGATTTTTTTCGAATAAAGGTTACGATTGATAAAACGACTTTTTATCTCCTCCTATAGAGGTTACTGAACTGAGAACGACAAGGGAGTACATATGTATGTATATTTTTCCTTATACCTACACGTGTTTGTGTTTATATTTTTTATGTTCGAGAGTCAATAGTAATTTCTTTTTAAATGTTTGACACATACAAAATTTGTTATTTATGGCACTGAAGGGTTAAAAAAATAAATATGTAAAGTTCCCACAATAAAAAAAAATGAAAATACTTTTTTCATATTTCTAGAATCCTTCATAAAAATGTATAAAAAGTAACAAAATACCTGTTTATCCTCAGCCAAGAATCTAATATCACAGAATGACTATTACAAAAATGTTCAAAGCCCGAGAAACATATGCTACATTCATTCCTGCTTTTGTTAAGGTATATCTCCACAAAAACAAGTGAAGACTATTGTCCGATGTTCACTTGTTTGCCGTGCAACAGGTAGGTAGATACTCAGATTTCTTTTTTTTTTCGTTTGGCCCGTTTAATGTACTTGTAGAAGGGTTTGTTCCTCGGTAAAAACTGTAATAATTATAATTATAGACTAGAAAATTATGTGAAACTGTTTAACTGCAATAAATCATTAAGGAACCCTTAAACAATCTTAAAAACCTATCGTTAAAAAAAGTTCTTTAAAAAAAAATCAAAAACTACAAATTTGCGATTTCAAACAAATTTCTTAAAAAATTTCAAATAAAATTCTGAAAAAAAGATTGCGTTCGTCGTAGATAAAGTATGGTATGCAGTTAATTTTATAAAATTCTCAAGATCACTCGTTTATTAAAAACTCGCTCCGCAAGCTTCTCTCGTGCATAATTAAACTTGTGTATTAAATGACGTTTATAAACTAGTTGTATAATTATTACTATTTATATATTAAAAAAATGCTAAAGAAACTTTTCACATTTAGTTTTAGACATTATTTAAAAAAAAAATTCCAATTGTCAAAAAATGTTAAATGTTTGATATATGGGTCATTCTTACAATAGGGGAAATTTTATGTCCCTGACTTGCCATGCTCAGTCAAGTGCATGTTCACCATTTTTTATTTTATATTTATTTAGGGGTTTATTGACCCTATTCATACACCTATTAACTTAATAATAAAATAAAACCAATTCGATACATTTTCCCTTTAATTACATAAATTGTCATTAGCGTGGATGTCCCTGGATATCCTTTCACCAGAATATTTTTTTTTTGCAAATTAAGAAACTGTCCATAAATACTCTAGCAATAGTATATTATAGACAACACTTTTTAAGATATGTTAAGCGGGATTGAGACAAAAAAATAA